ATCGGATCGAGGTGGCGAATATTTGAGCCATGAATTCGACGATCACTTGAAAGAAAATGGTATTCTTTCAGAGTTGACACCTCCCGGAACTCCTCAATGGAACGGAGTGTCCGAACGGAGGAATCGAACCTTGTTAGACATGGTTCGATCAATGATGGATCTTAGTGAACTCCCTATCTCTTTCTGGGGACATGCGCTACAAACTGCAGCACTAACACTAAACAGAGCTCCGTCAAAAGCTGTTGAAAAGACTCCATATGAATTATGGACTAAGAAACCCCCTAGGTTGTCTATTCTCAAGATTTGGGGATGCGAAGCATATGTCAAGCGATTAATTTCGGACAAACTTCACCCCAAATCAGATAAGTGTTTCTTTGTGGGATACCCAAAAGAAACCAAAGGGTATTACTTCTACAATAAATCCGAGAACAAAGTATTTGTTGCTCGTGATGGTGTCTTTTTGGAGAAGGAACACCTTTCAAAAATGACAAGTGAGAGGAAAATCGAACTCGACGAAGTTCGAGAGGACGACCAACAATGTCAACCTGACAAAACTGACAATCTAGATGCTTTGGAAGCATCTAAGAAGATTGGTCAGAATCAAACTGACAATAAAAATGCTCAACCGATTACCCTTCATAGGTCGCAACGGCAAAGATCTCAACCAGACAGATACCTCGGTATCGTCTTAACCGATGATCAGGACATCCTAGTCATGGATGGTGATGAGCCAGCGACATATAAGCAAGCTATGACGAGCCCCGACTCTGCAAAATGGCAAGAGGCCATGAGATCCGAGATGGACTCCATGTCTGAAAATCAAGTCTGGGACTTGGTGAATTTGCCCGAGGGTTATACACCCATTGGTTGCAAATGGATCTTCAAAGTGAAGACAGACAAAGATGGAAATGTATCGATATACAGAGATAGATCTAAAAGGATGATTGGATTAAGCCAGAGTACTTACATTGATAAGGTACTGGCTCGATTCAACATGGAGAATGCCAAGAGAGGGCATTTACCCATGTCCCATGGCATAACTCTCAGCAAGAAACAGTGTCCATAGGCACCTGTTGAGCGAGAAAGAATGAATCAGATCCCATATGCTTCGCTGATCGGATCGATCATGTATGCCATGATATGTACAAGGCCAGATGTATCGTATGCCCTGAGTGCAACGAGCTGATACCAATCGAACCCAGGAGAGGCGCATTGGACTGCGGCCAAGAATATCCTAAAGTACCTGAAAAGGAACAAGGATAAATTCCTGGTGTATGGAGGCCACAAAGAACTGGTTGTTGAAGGTTACACCGACGCTAGCTTCCAGACTGACAAACACGAATTCAAGTCACAGTCAGGGTACATATTTTGCCTAAATGGAGGAGCGTTTAGCTGGAAGAGTTCCAAGCAGAGCACCACTGCAGATTCTACAACTGAAGCCGAGTACTTGGCCGCTTCAGAAGCTGTTTGGATTCGCAAGTTCATCAGCGAACTTGGTGTTGTACCCTCAATCAAGGGGCCGATAGACCTCTATTGTGATAACAATGGAGCTATCGCTCTGGCCAGGGAGCCGAGAGAACACCAGAAGGTCAAACACATGCAAAGGCAATTTCACATGATAAGGGAATGGAAATCCGAAGGTGAAATCAGAATTTGTAAGATTGGCACAGATGATAATAGGGCCGATCCCTTGACTAAACCGATGCCTCAGGTGAAACACAACAAGCACACTGAGGCAATGGGAATCAAGCATGTTGGAGACTGGCTTTGAAAATTCCCTATACATGTGTTTTAATTAAATACGATGTTTAATGTAAGACACTGTAATGAAACCATTCATTTATGGAGTAATTAATTTTGTGCAAAATTATCATTCACTCCATTACTATTTAATTGTGGTTTAGAATTAAATAATGAGTCCATTCGATTTACGGAAATATTCAAAACAGGGTATCAAGACCATGTCTTGGATAAAGAAACACCTGTTAAGTGAACATTGAATATTTAAATCAGAAATTGTCCCTAATCGAGGTCATCTAACGGATGGACGATTGATGACCGCCACAGATTAGTGTGCAGTATGATTTACATCACCGTTTCTTGTGCTGCAAGGACGTGACAGTCATAAATCATTTGCATAGGTACAGTTTGTAACTGTACTGGATAAGACCTATGAGAGTACTTTAAGAAATTTCAAATTGTCATAACTACATTTCTCATTATGACTATCGGAACCTGTTTCCTCCGACCATGAGTATTGTGAAGTTTTCTTGTTTGAGTACTAGACTTTTTGATGTTTCCTAACGTCTGCCGTAACTAAGGATCATAACGGGAACACTCGGGAGACTAAGTCCTCTTAGTAAGAGGAACCTACAATGCAAGACTGGGATTGTCCCCTTATCAACAATAGGGAAAATGTTTTGTTGTTTACAGAGCCGCTCGAAGAGCGAGACTGTGAAAATGCATAGCCGTGCTCAGATGGATTTTAGAAATCATCTGTTTATTGACAGTCGAACTCGGAGATCGAGAAATACTTCTGAACGTAATAAGGATGACGATGAATCTTACCTTATAGTTCACGAAGAAACATTAAGAGACATAGGAAATGGGATATACACTGTATGCACACTTGTCCGGAAGGACAAGTGGGAGATTGAAAGGAACGGTGTCCTTCCAACAAGTGTATTCTTCCGATAGAGGGTTCAGAATTATTACAGATTTAATTCTTCAGTAAGATCAAGTGATCGGAATGCCTAGGTGGAGGCCGCTTCCGATCAGTAATATCGAGGTACAATTGATATTACAGCTTAATCTTAACTGAACCCTTCGGGTCAAACCCAATCGAATCACCGGTCCGAGACGACTAATTAATCCGAAAGGATTTAATGAGTCGACAGAGTTTTACGAATACAGATGTCGGATATCGAGCCTAGGGCGTCGAGACCGAGCGTTGCAAAATCACAAAGCGGCAAGTATGAACATAGTCCTAGCACCACACTGGCCTAGCCATGTGGATGCTAGGCTAGTTCGAGCTAGCATGCACCTAGCATGGCTAGGCGCAAGCCTAAGCACACTAGGTGCACTAAGCGCACCATCGCAGCCTAGGCGCACCATCGTTGGCCTATCGCAAGCACTAGGCGCACCAGGAGCACCTGGCAGCCTATCGCAAGCACTAGGCGCACCAGGAGCACCAGGCAGCCTATCGCAAGCAATAGGCGCACCAGGCAGCCCATCGCAGCATGCGTACTGGCTTGCGTGCTAGTCTTCGTATGGCAGCACCAAGCAGCGCACCATGCCTGTGCGAGGGCCTGGGCGCCAGCACATTGCTAGGCCACGCACAACAGCTCAGCATCGCTACGCACCAAGGCTGCTAGGGGATGCGTGGGCGTGCGTGAGATGCTAGTGCATGTGCGTGTGCGAGAGGTGCTACGAGGCTGATGCGTATGGTGCGAGGCAAGGGGCCAGCATGCGTGGCTCGCTAGCAGCACACATGCTGGCTATGCGAGCGTGTTGCGCGAGGATGGTGCGTAGATGCTAGGCGTGTGCGCTGCCTAGCCAATGCGTGGGCTGCTAAGGCCAGCGCCAGCACTATGTGCTAGCAGGGCTAGGCGTTAGCACACAGCACTAGCGCCAGCATCGCCCAGCGCCAGCACGCATTGACTGGCTGGGATGCTGGGGCTGCTGGGCATGTGCTAGCTGGCTAGGCTAGCTTGCACTGCTAGCTGGCAGCAGCCCACTAGCCTATGCTCAAGGCGGTTTTTTGTGAAGGGGTGGGGACCAAGGCTTGGGCAAAGCCTTAGGGAGCAAGGCAATGGTCCCCCCACCTCTCCATGGTCCTCACCTAACCTTCTCTCTCCCCTTGACACTTGTTGCATTGTGATTGAATTTAATTATTAATTTATTTTAGAAATAAATTAATTGTCAAATTATTTATTCTCCCACATTGGTTGGGGAATGAAGTTCAAGGGTGCATTTCCCTATAAATACCAAAGGCATGGTATTGGGAAATAAACAACTTTGAGTGGAATTAAAAAGGCAACTCTTATAATTAGAGTAAACCTTTGATTCGTAAAACTCATAGTTTTATTTTGTCCGGGTCTTGACTAACCTTCAAGACTTGGGACGCTCGGGTCGGGTCGAGGGTACGATCCGTCGGAGATCTCGTAGTTTCGGGATTTTGAAGTAAGAGCTCTTCGGGAGCGAAGCACGCAACAAAGGTATAATTCTTGTTCTTAATCTTGTTTGATTAAGTTTATTATGCTTGTTAATTGCTTTAATTAAGGGGCGGGTCTTGGGGGGTTTCCTTCCGCGTAGTGTCGGGTCGCTACGAAACCCTACAATTTCAACTATGTACAATGGTACCAGACTATCCAAACTCATATTTGAATTTATATGAGTAATTTATCCTAAAATAAGTGAAAAAAATGTAGTTTAAACTTATTAACTCGAATATGTTATATCTGAAATTATTTCTCTTACAATAAATGAAGAAATTAATAATATTAAACGTGAACGTCAATACATGAACTGTTAACGAACAAACCAACCCGAAAAATGTACCCGAACCTGATATGACCCGACCTGAAATCAACCCGAGACCCAGATTAAACCTAATATTTGAGACCCAAACCCGAACATGACCCAACCTGGAAATGACCCGACGTGATGATTATAACCCACAAATTATTAACTTGAACTGAACCCGACTCGAAACCGAGAATGACCCTAACTCGTTTTAATCCGTTAAAACCCGACCTATTATTCACCTGACCAGAATGTAACCCAACCTTTTATTCACCCGACCTAAACCCGACCCAAACCGATAAGATGTATGACTCGACATGACCCGACTCAAGCATGACCCAACCCGAACCCGACCCGCATAGGTTACGACATTGACCCGACCCGAGTTGACCTGACTCACACTAAGTCGACCAAAACCCGACCCATTTACCCGAATTGACAGCTCTAACGAGTAACCAAAGAAGCAATATCAATTATGAGCTTGATTAAAGAGATGACTATCCTAAATATACAGAGTGTATTTTTATTTATTATTACATTAACAGTACGTGTAACAAGTTACAAGATCATATTCATTTGCTGAGGAAATACACTATAACATCATATCAACTTAATTTACCTCAAGCAACAGAAGAAATATTATAACATCTTTATTGGCCTAATTACTCCCATTCATGCAGAAGTGAAGTTGAAATTTGTACATCTAGTCATATCATTCACTAAATACCTAAACCCAACCATAGACTTGGCTAGATCAAACTGCACCAAGTTATCCTCCAACTGATACCCTCCCAGCACAATCGATGCCGGTGGGTTCTTCCCACCATCCACAATGGCGAGACACAACGCATTCGGGTTCGCCTTCAACCCACCAACCATCGAATTCGAAGCAAAGATCGTCCACGCCACTTTCTCGTTCTGTAACACTAGCTCAATATTCGGAACCTCGACTCCTACTCTTGTTGAACTAATCGTGCTACTATCGTAGCAGAGTTCGAACGGGGCAACAGCTTTGATCCGTGTAGCATTCGGATAACCTCTTTGTTGATATAGTATTTTGAGTTGACTGTCAAAGTTGGAAATCAATGAGATGTATATAGAGCTTTCCATGATTGTGTAAGGGTTAACTGTACTGAACTTAGTTCCGCCCTTGCCTTTGTTGTTTATGGATAATAAGGCTTTGTTGATTGGAACTTGGCTGCCACCGATTTTGATGGACGTGACTCCGATATAGTAATCGGATGAGGTGGTTGGGTTTTTTAAAATAGGGGTGTAAGAAAATGAGGATGAGACGTAGACAGGTCCAGGGTAGAGTTTGTAAGGGCCGTCACCGAAGAATATGACGCCTACACTTGTGACATCGGAGGTTAAGCAAAGGGCAAACTTTTTTGACAAACTGAAAGTGGAGGTAAATTGAGAAGGCACAGAGATTTTAGTCCTTCCGAACCCGGCAATTCCTTGGACACCCTTTGCTAGGCCTTTTAGTAAGAAGGTGGGTGCACAATTGAAGAGGAAGTTGGGAACGGATATGACTGGACCGAGGTTTAAACCGTCGGTGGAGTTGATTCGGATAATATCTGAGGCAAGCTCACCACTGGTGGCGGTATTGGTGAAGGGGTTTTCAGGGAAGAGGCCACAGGTGTTGTTGTTGCACCCTGGCCTGGGAGGTGAGTTGCAAGTACCGCAGGATGTAGAGCCGGCTAAAGTACATTGGGCAGAGTTACAACGAATAGGACGGTAAGTTGAGGAGACATAGCCTTTGTCGCAATCCTGCCATAAGAATGGAGATCCAAGGGCGAGTGTTAAGGGTATGGATTTGGAAGGTGTTCTTTGGGTGATTTTGACTATGTAATATAGGGTGGAGGCATCTTTAGAGACAGGGAGGAGAAGGGCTTTGGGTTGGACGGAGGTGGCGGCAAAAGCTGTGGCAATGAGGGGGAGCAGGAGAGAAAATAGTATGAGGTGGTGTTGGATGGAGGATGTCATGGTGAATAAGGAATATGATTAATTTGTGTGCAAAATTGAGATGTTGTACAAGTTTATTTATAGCGTGTGGGGAGATGGGGTCTTGGTTGAATTATTGCTTTATTATTATTTCTATTAATTATTAATATTATTATTGCAATATTTTTTTTATTTTAAGTATTATTACTGCATTATTAGAATGCAATTACGTGGACTATTTGTCGTAGGACTTATATTATGGTCAAATATGGGTAACCTGACGGGCCGCCTCATGATCTAGGACTTTCGCTACTTTTATGGCAATTGATTGTCTTTAGATGAGTCATTTTATTTTAACTCAAATTAAAGCTTCGTTTCTTTAAATTCCTGTTCATTGACAAACATAATATGTCACGATCTCTCCTTTTGTTTTCTACTCGGATCCTATTCTCTATTTTCGCCGACAATAATGTTATCAAATTATATGCTATACTCTATCCATCTTGGATTAATCTCATTACTTTCATCCTCGTTACTTCTTATGTCATGCTTGGATTAAGAGAACAGAAGTGAATATACGAAAAGAGGAGGGGAAGCCCATGTCCATAATTACTGTTATCATGAATGACAATAACAAGTGTATGTTGGTACATTTATACCTCATATTGGTATAATAATTATACCAACATAAAGTAAAAAAATACCAACAATCTTGTTGGTACATCTAGATCTCATATTGGTATAGTAATTATACCAAAATGAAATCTAAAAATACCAACAGAACTTTGTTATTTCATTGAATACATGAGAAATTATTGATTCAAACAACCTCGAGGAGGTGAAGAAAGACAGGAATTATTATCCTCATTTTGGGGGATAAATATTACCCTTATGAGGATAATGATTCCTCCATTTACCTATTTTCCTCATATCACAACTTCTTTATTTTATTTATAAACACCTTATCCCCCTAGCTATCACAATATCTCTAATCACTTTTTTTTAATTTGACTTTAATTACCCCTCTTAATATATTACCCCTAATCCAAGCATGGCCTTAGATTTTTTTTTTTAAACGTTGGTCGATAGTGTGATTATATTTTATTATAGATAGAGGATACTAGATGTAGAATTATTTTATGGTTTTTAGTAGATACGGGGTGTTATATTATCATAATTAATTACAGTTCAAAGTAAAGTGAAAGAGACATTAGCTAGAAATAAACAATAAGTCAATTTCATTTAATACCAGTTGTAAGTACAACTAATTTGACACTATTTAAGAAGAAAAATGGTGCAAATTTAATAATACGAGATGATGATATGTAGAAGTATATTAGATAAGACTAGTGCATGCACAAGAGATCACTATACATAGAGGTTTCAATTCGGATAGTTGGGTCAGGTTTGGTGAGGTCGAGTCATGTCTATTTCAAAGATGAGTCATGTTAAATTATTGTGTCCATACGAATCAATATCTATATATGACTTTTTCTAGGTCAGATTGGGTTGGGTTGGTAGGTCACGTCAATTTTTGACACCTCTTATCTATGTTTATTTGAATTTGTTTATTAAGAAGTTTTTTATTTTAAATATGGGAGTGAGCTAGGAAGTCTAGGTAAAAAGGAAGGTGTTGTTTGATTGAAAAAATAATGGTGAATTAAACCTCCTACACAATGAATTTATTTATCTAAGCTCCTTAAGTAAGTGAAAGCAAACTCCCTTATACCATATATATAGGAAGTTAAATATCCCACCATCAACCAAGTTAATTTTTCTAAAAACAAATTAAGTAATTAATAATTTCCTCATATCATATATTAGTTATCACATTTTGACTTTAGATACACTATTCAAAAAATTTTGATTGTTTTGAAGATACATATTTTGGAAGAAATATAACCACGTGGAATATTGTAAGATTTATCTTATGATATAGGATAATTCGTTAGGATTGTCCTTTTAAGTAGTCGGATCTGTGAGAAAGATCCGTATATAAAAAGAAGTTGCAAAAAAAGTCCTTATATTCCATTTAGGTAGTAGGAGGGACCTTTGATCAGTTTCCGGCAATTGACTTCATTTTCCGGCCATTGACCATCACGTGACTTTAAGAAAAAAAAAATTTATTTTTTTTTGTCTTTTTTCTACCTTTTCCCTCCAATTCCAACTTACTCCCAATTCTTTCCCCCTAATTTCTCCTTTAACTCTCTAATTTGTTAATGTGAACAAGTTACTTCACGAGTTCACTATAATACCATGGAAGTTTCCTTCTTTTAAAATACCCTTTTTGTCTAAAATAAAAATATAAACTTAGAAAATAACCAAAATATTACCGCCACCGTGATAACGGCTAAAGCTTTTCAAAGTCACACAATACAGCGGAAGACTACCTTTCAAAAACTCAAATAAAATAAAGTTTTATAAAATCAAACTTAAACTTTAAAACCAACTTTCATTAAACAAGTAACTTGGAATCATTAAAGGCCCTTAAAACCAAACTAAAACATTAAAACAATAATTATATGTTAGTGTATTTATTTCAACCTCACTAATCGCCATATAAAATGGGTCATAGTAGGGCCAATACAAAGAAAAGCCAAACACAAACAACAAAATATGAATCAGCAAAAGCTGAGTACATATGCACCAATAGGAACAATCACACTACCATGAATCTCCTATCAATAAATAATAAATAAATAAATAAAACATGCTTGTCATACAACACAAGTCAACTTACCTTTGACTCATGACACTACTTTAATTTATTAATAAATAGTTTTGGATAATGCATCGAACGGATTTCCTTCCTTAAAAAAAATCCCATTAAAATATTGAGCTTCCAATAAGGGAGCTACCCCAATTGGCACCTACTATGTCACACTTGTGACGTAATTCCAGCGCATTAATAATAAAAGAACGTACAGCGTCATGTACCCCCGTAGAATCTATGATCAAATATAAAGTTACATAACTCCCCGCACGTGTTCATACTCAAGGTATATACGTTCCAAGAGTTTTGGTGTGTATCCTCTTACACTTTACGTGATTTACCAATTTAACTTGTGATGACTCCAACCAATCAATCAAGAACAAACATAACAATAATTAACATATGCTTCCATTTCATTCTTAAATTAATTAATGAGCACATACAATTTATTTTAATTAAGGTTCCTTGCCTAATTTTTTGCGCAAAATTGCACTATTACTACCTTGGTGCATAAGATGCACTAATAAGTTTCCTTGACTCAATCTCAACTTATGTGAGTGAGTAATAAATAAACTAAATTCCTTGACTTGACCCTAGCTAACTTATATAAGTGAGTAAATAAATAAATAAACTAATTTCTTGACTCAACTCCAATAATATATGGGTGAGAATAAAAACATTTTTTTTTCGATTCAAATGAGGAATAAATTCCAAAAGAAAAGAAAACGAAAACAAGAGAAAATTAAACAAACAGCAAACAACTACAAACTAAACTAAGGGGGGACTAGGCGTGGAAGAGCCAAACCCCTAGCATCCCCCACCAAAATCCTACTATGCTCTTACAGAACCGACTCAATTAAAAATATTTCGGTGTCTTGAGAGACTCCGCGGTTGGTCAACCAATCCGCCGCGCTATTGGCTTCCTTATATATATGAGCAACTTTTATCTTCTAACTAGCATCTCGGAGCATTCTTTGGCATTGAGTAAGCTCATGGAAGCACTGACCTCTGCTTATATTATCTTTTTGAAGGATTTGAACGCATGATAAATTGTCCAATTGAATTTCTAATTGCTGAATTTGAAGATTACGAGCAATCTTTAAGCCATTGGTGAGGGCTAGGACTTCAGCTCTGAAAGCGCTACATACTCCAAAATTAGTAGAGATAGCTGATACAAAACCCCCTAGATGGTCTCGGATGATTGCCCCTCCACCTGCTGCCCCTGGACTACCCTTAGCAGCACCATCGCAATTTAACACATACCAACCAACATTAGGCAGAAGCCAAGTCACATGAATTTGCTTCCTTGATGCAATTTTGTTTTGGTTTTCAATTAGTCCCAAGATGTTGCGTCTTGCTTCATCATAATGAATTTGGAGAAATGCTCCTATGTTAATTGGAATCTCATCTTGCCGATTAAACACAAAGCAATTCCTCAATCTCCAAATCCACTAAGTTGCAGTCCCAAAATATGTACCCCAGCTTTCGGTGTCTAAGTGATCCATGTTCTTGTTATGCTTCATGATCCACTCCTTCAAAGACCCTTGGAAAAACAAGTCAAACACAGGATAAGATAAAATATTACGCCACTCCACTTTTGCAGGCGATCAATCTCAAAGAATATGCAAGGTACTCTCCTCATTAGCTCCACAAATATAGCACTTGGGGCTATCAGTTATCTTGCGTTTGTACCTGTTCAGATTTCCTAGAAAACAGTCGTGGCAAGCCAACCATAGAAAGGCTCTAATGCGTTGTTGCATTGGCGCCTTCCACACAATATTCCAACACTCCTCATCTAAAGTGTTTGTTTCGTGCCTCATAATGCTCAAAATAGATTTTATTTTGAATTTTCCCTGAGAATTCTCCTTCCGGTAGACTAAATCACCTACATTGGGGTCAACACGCACTTCATAGCTTTGTATAATTTCGAGAGTACTTTCATCTAAGTAGGAACTGAAAATGTTCCACCTCCACCCCTGATCTTCTTCCTTCATCTCAGCTACAATTGCTCCCGCAAGTTCCATAGGTAGAGGTTGGGTCACCAAGTTGCTAAGTGGTTGATCAGTAGCCCAAATATGATCCCAGAATAGTGTAGAAATTTCATTCCCTACGTCAGTCTTCATTCCCTTGTTCAATAATTTGGCGTTTTTTTGTAATTCCGCTCCATACATTTGACATTCCTGACTTAGGCTCGAGCTTGTCGACATCACAACGCCCTTTACAATACTTGGCTCGTAAGACTCTAGACCAAAGTGATTAAGGCTTTGTAAGAACACGCCATACTAACTTAGTTAGGAAGGCAACATTAGCTTGTTTGGCCAAAAAAATACCTATCCCACCTAACTCCTTTGGTTTTTGTAGAACTTCCCACGAAAGGAGATGAACTTTCCTTGTATCTTCATTTTCGCCCCAAATAAATCTCCTCGTCTTTTTGTCAATTAAGTCACAAATTGAGCGTGGGATTTTAGCAGTTTGCATAGAGTAAAAGGACATGGTTGAGATTGTCGATTTAGCTAAAGTGATATGGCCGGCTAGGGATAAATATTTTGTCTTCTAACCCAAGAACCTTCGATCAATCTTCTCACACAAATGGCTATATGTGTCATTCGTCAC